GGGCGGGGGCTTCGGGCAGCGTGGTGCTCGGAGCGGTGGCTTCGGGCGGCGCGGTGCTGGGGGGGCGGGGATTTCGGCGGCGCTCGCAGGGCGGGGGGTATGGCAGGGCGGCTCTCTTCTTTTTTGCCTGAGGCGGCAAAAAGTTAGAGTCAGCCCTGTCTGGTACGAACACGTTCCACAGAGCTAATGAGGAACAGGTTGACATGTCCTAAAGATAGGGTCAAAAGGATAATATAATGGATAGTTGTTTGTTCAAACCAACCTATACCAGGAAAGAGGCAGCACCCTAACATGTAGAGGGGTTGTATCTCAATACGTCAGGAGTGATGTGTAGCTTGTTTGTACCTGTGTATAAGAATGCATCCCTGAGTGGATGTCTTTGTCCAGCCTAGGGGGCAGTGGAGAGTCTCGCCACTGACTGAGCTGTGTCCATTGTCAGGGAGCACATATGTACTAGCAGAACTGTAGACATCTGATCTGGGGAGCTAGAGACTGTGTTTCGTTTGGCAATAAACCTGGCTGGGTGCCAGATGCCACCTGTCTTTTTAGTCTGCACATTCCTTCGTTTGACTGACAGATTTTATTATCCAATTATTTTTAGTCCTTTATGGTGGGCTTGGGAATGTTAGGCCCGGGACTATGACGGAGGAATTTAGTATTATGATTGAGCCTTAGAGGCACTCCCAAATAATGAATATATATGAATAATATGGATATGGCTATATATTTGTAGCGTATATATGTATAGTATGTATGTGTACATATGACACCACCTTATATCCAAACATAACCATGTTTTTCCAGTCTGGTGTTGAATTCTGGCCCTTTTACTGTGGTGACACAGATAGAAATACACTCCTATTAGGGCAATTGCAGTTATCACCTGTATCATCATTAGTAGTAGGCTGAGTGTTTTGAAATACTGGGATAGGCATTGTTATAGTGTGTTTCACAGTATTATGTATGTGAGAAGTAAAACAGAAATTTGGAGTAGTGACACTACAAATGAGGTCTTTATATATAAATGTCTTGTAATTAGTTACTACCCAATACTGTGCATTCATGTTATGGGTTACCCTTCCTGCTGGTTGTCACCCTCTGGTAAGCTTTGCTGGGCAGGAAACAGGAACGGCTAGCTTCTCTGTTCCATGGATTGCATTACCCCATGATACAGCAGTAGTTGACGTAGATCCAGTTGTTTTTATGGATGTTGCTTTTCAGAAAACCTATTAAATGGACAGTAACCAATTTATCAAATATTGCTGTGTCAGGATTTAGTATGTGTACCCAGACAACCAGATGCCCAACTTTATTTTATGTTCTTATGGCTCATAAGAGTCTCAAATCACTGGAATTGCCCAAGGGCCTGGAGCTTTCTTCACAAAGAAATTTTAAATAGCTGGCGTGGTGGCACCTTTGTGTAAAGGAGGAAGGTTTTTATCTTTATGAACACAAAAGGCTGATTCTCGTCCCCTGCAACAATAATTCTTTAAAAATTCTGGGCAAAGATGAATAAGAGGTACTGCTGGTATCACTCAGTCTCCCCTCTCTAGGACAGAGGAACATGTACTGAAACATCAATGAAAAACTAATGTTGTTCTACTGGTATGGCTCTAGTAATTACAACCCTGAAGCCAACAGAAGCTTTACATTACTGATTAGACCAAAGTAACAAGTTTTGCCCTGGGTGTGCTGGCCAGTGCTGCTTAAGTGGAATATTGGTAAACCCAGTTTCTTGGAGTATTTGAAGAATTATATTAATTGCTTGTCTATATATTAGAGAGCAGCAGATTATAATAAATGTTGCAATCAAAATAGATTTCCTCACAAAAGCTACACTATCTATTTGTGGTGAGGGACCAGACTGAAAGAATAGAGAGACAGTAAGAAAATGAGGCTGTTATTTTACCTCCTTTTCAGCTGTCATTATACACAGTCTCACACAGATAAGCATCATTCTTATATAGTGCCTTCCACATGAAACCTCAAAACATCAGTTACATTCCAGGCACTAACGAATAGCACCCCAATGAACTTAATTAATTTAAACCACATAGGGAGGCATATTTTAGTGCTGTGACTAAAGGAAGTCATATTTCCAGGGGTCATGGGGAGCAGTGAGTCTTCTTACATATGTTGCAATGGTGTGGCCTGTTCTATTCTTGCACTTCACAGCAGCTGGGGGTCAGTGCATAAGGGACATGGGACTAATCCTGACACAAACAAATGCTAACCCAAAGTGGTGTGTGAATTATAGCTGCCAGAAACCCTAGAGTGCTCTCTCCTGGCATTCCCCACCACTGCTAGCCAAGGTATGACATTGTCCTGTGATGGGTGGGTGAGTGAAGGGGCTTTTTGCTTCCTCTTTCTCTCTCTAGTTCATTAGTGCAGGACCCACAATGTACCAAAGCAATAGGTTTTATGCCACATGCTGTGCATGTTTTATTCTGAAAGGCTATCTGTAGATGACATGGGTGTACTTGGCACTTGTATGTAAACAGTAAATAGCTCTGGGGCAACTCTCAAATAAGTGATACAAAAGAAAAAAAATCCTGCTCAAGAAATGTAAACAAGGCCTCCATCCCAACTGGCTGGAGTCACTCCGTTGCTGGGACGTGGAAGGGAAGTTGTTCTGAATGGGCATGCCACACACTTTCCTAGTGAGACAACTCAGTTCAGTGCCTCTTACTCTGCTGATTTTATAGAATGCAGACTTTGCATGTGGACTCACAGAGGCTATGGGAGGAGACTTTTGTATATTGATGCAAACCATTGGAATCTCATTTTGGTGGAATGCATATTTTGGGCAAGCCAATTTTGCTGTAGAACACTGGAAATAGAGCATGCCTCTTGGCTCCTCTGTAATTATGCCTCCGAGCCTACGGTTTATTATTATGCTAGACTCACAGGAGAAGCTTAATGTTGTTATGTTTTGAAGGGATGTTTGTTTTTTACTGTAGTAAACCACTATAATAAATGTGATATTTTTACACTAGCGCTAAAGGTCTTAAGCTGGTGCCTGCATGTCTTGGAGCCCTGTATGCAAAAAATGACAGCATGCCTGTCATCTTCAGAAATGTTTCAAAATGCACCCCACTCCCAAAAGGAAACAATGTACTTCTAGTTGTGCCATCCTTGTCATGGTTTAAAGAGCCAACCCAAGGAGCTGAAATCTTTAGTTGTATGGGTTGCCAATAAAGTATAATGTGACCAGTTTGTGACAGGATTTGGCTTCTGTGTTTTTTGTATCTTAGAAGTTACGATCTTGACTTACCACATGATCATAGTCACTAGTTTCATTACAATCTCATTCAGGATGCTGAAGAAATCCACCATCACTTTGGCCTGCTCTCCCATCTTCCCCATAGCAACGCCAAAAGCAATGAAGAACCCTATCAGGCCTGTTGGAGGAATCACACCACAGAGAACCCATCAGTTAGGAAGCATGTTTTTTGGTCTGAGTCTCTGCAGCTATGTCAGAATAAAGCCACCCTGTTAATTCAACCTTCAAACAACTGCACTGTATTTCACAGCTGAAATGCTTTATCTCTTGTTAATGTGATCTTGCGCTAAACTTCCACAATGGAAACCAAGAAGTATTCTTTATTTTCTACTAGTCTATAAATTCCATGGCATAGAGACTGTTTTTTATATAATAATATAGCACCTAGATGATGACTCAATCAATAAAATAATAATTAATAGTGAATTTACAGTATTTGATTTGATTCAGTTTGAAAGTAGGGGTACTGAGTCTCCATTGCATGGCCCCTTTACACTGCTCTTGTCTGTTCCTTTGGTTGACCTGTCCACCAAAGGAACACTCATAATATAGGCTTCCTTGATGCCATAGAGACCGCAGAGGCCTCACAGCCTGGCAAAGGGGTGTGGCCAGACCCCAAAGAGCTCTGGCTGCCACAATACCTTCTAGGGGTTATGTCCAGCTTTGCCTAAGTTTAGAGCAGCCCTGATGTGGTTCTACCCAGTACAGGAGCCAACCTCGGAATACAGTGAGATGCAAAGGAAACACCCCTTCCCCATCTCTCAACACACACACACACACACACTTCTTGTGACTAGCTCATCCAAAAGGAATAACCGTATATCTTAAAATATGGATATACATATTAAGGGACTAATGCTGCTCCAGATGAAATGATTGGGAGTTTTCCCTTTAAATCCAATGGGAGCAGGAGCAGGCCCTATAGTAACATAACAAAGGAAATTGTAACTGTTTTCAATAAATGGAGGAAACTCTTGGGTATTAGAAAACCAAAATGAGAATCAATTGAGTGAATGAGTACGCTAGGGATTATTTGATAATCTATATATGCTATTTAGGATTAGTGTGCTCTGATGCAAGGCTTTGCTACCTGGGAATTTACAGAGATCAAGAAAAATTTCTGAAGCTCAGCAACCCTCAAGAGGTTGAACTGTGAGACATGATGAGAGTTCAGCATTTACCTAGTGTGTGAGCTCAGCTGGGAATTTCCCTTGTCAAAAAGCTAAGTGAGTCCCATTCGGATACAAAAACAGAGGAAGAAAGTGGTTGCAGACGCCAGAAATGACCAGCTTGGCTATCCAAAAACTCACTCATTAGTATGGGGGTGTTGTTCTTGGGTAGAAATAAAGGATATGTGTCTGTGTGTGCTATAGAGCATGGAGTGATGTGTTACTGATAAACTCTTAAATAGTCACTTCCTGGAATCCCAACTGTGGTCAGAAAATGTTAGTAGGTGTTTTTGTCTACTTAAAGTTGAGTGCTATGAGTAATGTGACTGCTAGTTTAGCATTGTTTGTGTTTGCTTGGAATTTGCCCAGCTCCTTTAACTCATGCAACTATGAGGCCAATCCCCCTATATTTTCATTTTTCTTATAAACCACCCTGACCTATATCATCATGGGCCAAACTACTGTAGTAATGGCATCATATAAGCTCTAGTGTTATTGGAGCATTACTATATAATACAGTAGTAGATTTATTTTCTTCTGCTTCAGCAATGTATTGGCCTTTCAGTCCCTCTTGTTATTAATGATATTGTCAGTGGGATACAATTTCCTCCAAAACCTAGGACCAAATCTAATGTATCTCTCACATTATCCAGATTGTCTCTTTATATATATATATATATATATATATATATATGTATAGTAATAAGTAAATAACTAGT